CCTACAAACCGTCCTCCTAAACGCTGAGGTTTCATCGTGTTATCTAATAATGAACTAAACTGCATAGTGAATGAACGACCAGCATAACTGGGTTGGGAGCCAACACGCAGACTCTGGGTGAGTGTTCTGTGCCATTGGTGAGATGGGTTTGATGTTCTGGCCAGGAGCCCACTAGCCGCAAGCACTCAGCACTCAGCCCTCAGCAGGTGTCAGTGTGTTTACAGGGAATGAAGGTTAGTGTGGTAAGGCCTTCCGGAGACAGTGAGAGACCCAGTCTACACAGTGAAGCTATGCTAGCTCAGGAATCTTTTTGTTTTTAAGAGAGATTTTTGCTACAGGACATGTGCATTCGCTGGAGAGACAGAGAAACAGAGAGACAGAAAGTGAATTATCACCTTCCAAGGGGGATGGCCAAGCATTAATCTCTTCCCCTCCATTCCCCTCTAGGGATTATGGACACGCACGCACACGTGCTTTGGGTGTTTCAAGCCACTGGGTCCAGGACTCAAACCGAGGTCAGCCAAATGAGAATCTTAACATCTTAACCACTATGCCACCTTCTGGTCCCATATACTTTAAAGAGTTTAAAGAGTGATTTGAAGATATACACATGGAATGACAATCTAGTTTTAAAATGAAAGTGGAAAAACAGTTGATAATCCCTGAGTAACGGACACGTCTATTCATGGTCCGTTTCCCAGGTTTTTAAGGACTGCGAAAAGCTTCCTTCTTCTGTATGTGTTTACAATAATGGGACCCTGGGAACCAGCAGTTAGCGTAATGGCTATGTTGCTGGATTCCCACGTAGTTGACCGCGGTTCGCGTCCCGGACCTGGTGGCTTAGAACTCACGCTGGGTGCGTGTGCGTGCGTGCCCAAGGTCCCGAGAGAAGAATGGAGGAGAAGGGATTGCGGCGTGACCATCCCCCCTGGGGGGTGATTTCTCGCTTTCTGTCTCTCTCTGTCTGGCGAGTGCATGCGTCCTATAGCGAAAACCTCGCAAATAAAAAAGAAAAAAAAAATAATGGGACCCTGACTCCATGGAAAATGTAAATTCACGATTTTTAAGATCCTACCTTCCTTTCCCCATTGTCTGATATTCCGATGACTGTCACTAAAAAGCTTAAAGGAATGCAGTGATCGGGAAACACAGAAAACCTCCTGCTGTTAATAATATTGTAGAGGCGACCTACAGAAGAGGGGGGAACTTCAATCGCGAACCGCAATGCAGGATGGAAGCAAAGATCCAGAACTCAGCACATCCTCCTCCTCATTCTGTAGGTGGCTAATTCTGAGCTTTGGCTCCCCAAAGTTAATTCGTTCTTGATTTACAAAAGAGCTTCTACAAACAACAACAAGTTGAATAAAACAACCGGAAGACGTGACACCTTTTGTTTTCCCAAAACCTAAAAAGGAAAAGCAAAGGCAATGCTCAAAAATAAGAAACGGTTCCAATATGCTGGATGAGGTTTCCATCTTTCCCACCGCTACTCTGGAAGAGCAGTACTACTTTGTGTTTTTGAAATGTTAGCAAAATATTCAAGAGGAAACAATTCCTAATGAACATCAATACTAAAAATCTAGGTATGAGGCAACATTTAAGGTTTGTTCAAATTTGAGACCTCTCTCGGGGTGGGGATCTGCGGTGCTGTTAAATGTTGCACATAATTAGGGATGTGTGTGTGAACGAGATCTTTCAGCTGACAATGAATTATTCTAGTGGGTAACAGGCAGCAACACCTAACCTCTTACAAACTGCTGGTCTCTTCTTTCTCTGTGAATATTGTCATACTAAAAAAAGAACGCCTCGGCGAGGAGATGAAAGCAAAACTGACATTTTACATAATCTGTGTCCCTGCCTGTCTTTTAATATTAACTTGATTGTTTTTTTCCATCTCTTAATGTTATATAAGAAGATGCTAAACTAGTCAACCAAAAGAAAGGATGAAAGGGAAAGGAACATTTTTATGAGGATGTCAGTCTCCCTCGAAACCAGGGATGAGGAAGAATGCACGTGAGCAGAGTCTGAAGTGACAGCCGTGGTACCCTGCCTCACGTGACCACTTCACGCGCCTCCGACAACTGGCCGTGGGCCAGATCGTTTCTCACAGATGTGGTGGGTCAGAGGGACATCCAGCCAGAGCAAGCTTGTCCCGTTGCAGGCACAGCAGGACAAGCCTCTGTACATCTTACCTCGAGGTCTGGTCATTTGGTTCTAAAATATCCAAACAGATCAGACACAAACAATTCAACTACAAACCACACACTGGAGAAATCTTTCATCTTTCAGTTAATCTAAGGGTCAATGCTAGTTTACATGTTTAATATGATAAGCACAAAACAGTGAAAAAATCAGGACCAACTGATTTTAATAAGTAATTCGAAGTCCTCCTGGTTACGGAAATGAGCTCCTCTTAAGAATACCTTTTTATTAATACTTAATTGCTAATGAGTCATTGAAAAATGGCACATTGGAAGGACCTTGATTTGCTGGACAGTTGGTGAGTTTTGCTTTCTTTTCCTTCACTACTGTTTCTCCAAGACAAGTGTCAATGTGACCAAGAATGATTCGCCAGTGTCTCTCCTTCAGAAAGTTCCCAAAATTCAATATTGATGCTGAGTGCTTTTACAATCTCCGAATATATTTTATCAGAGCTTCTAATTTTACAGATGGGGAAACCGAGCCTGAAAACCTAAGAGACCTACCCAGAGTCCTGAGATAGCAGAGTCATACTGAAGCCAGACCTGGCACTAAAAATCTCTCTGGAGGGTCAAGTGACTGAGGTCACTTGCAGGAAGACATCTTTTTAAAAATTCTATTGTATTGGGAATCAGCAGTTAGCGTAATGGCTATGTCGCTGGACTCCCACGTAGTCGACCACGGTTCGTGTCTCGGACCGGTGGCTTACAACTCACGCCGGGCGCGTGTGCGTGCGTGTGTGCCCAAGATCCCGAGAGGAGAATGGAGGAGAAGGGATTGTGGCGTGACCATCCCCCCTGGGGGGTGATTTCTCGCTTTCTTTCTCTATGTCTCTCTCTGTCTGTCTGGCGAGCGCACGCGCCCTACAGTGAAAATCTCTCCAAAAAAAAAAAATTCTATTGTATTATTATTTTATTTAACTTTATTTACTTACTGATTTATTTTAGAGGTACAAAGCAAGAGAGCGAGGGGTAGAGGGAGTGAGAAAGCAAGCTGCCAGGTCCAAGACTCGAACCGCAGTTGGCCATGTGGGAGTCCAGCGCCCTTAACCACCATGCCACTTGCTGGCCCCAGGAAGACATCATTGTAGAGGCAACACACAGAAGTGAGAGGAGGACTTAAATCATGGACCTCAGTGGGGTATCATTACCACCACCCTCTTCCCATGTGACCCAGACTCTGCACAGCAGAAACCAGAACTTTCTCACAAGACAACTCCCAGCCACCTCCAAGTCAGCTGTTTGCCTTCTGCACACACGGCTTAACAGCGGTCATTAGCGGCAATTCTACTTGGGACATGTGTTAGCCGCTAAGAGGAAGGAGAATACCAAAACCACTTGTGATTAAATCACATCTACACAAACTAAGCAAACTTTTACTTTTTGATGTATATTGTCTGGCATAAAGAGGAAGAAACGAGTCCTTTCAGCATCATCAAGAGAGAACATATGATATCCATTAGCTCTGAGTACTTCAAAGAATTAAACACAAAATTACCTTTGAAGGCTTCAAGTTCCTTCCTGTAGGGGGAAAAAAAATACAAATGTAAAATAATCTATTCTCAATGGAAACTGCTCTTAAAGTATAATAAAAATTTATGTACTTTACATGTCCAGAGTGTCATAGCTAGATGTTCAGCCATCAATTGTGTTTTATTGAAATTATCAATGCAATAGCCTAAAGCAACTTTTTCTAGTTATTTCTGCTACTATTAATGGTTCCAAAAAATTCTGACAAAATATAAACTATGAAAACACTTATTAAAATACTCAGAGAGGAGGGCCAGCAGGTAGTGTGGTGGTTAAGGTATTGAACTCCCACGTGGCTGACCACAGTTAGAATCCTGGGCCTGGGGGCTTGCTTTTTCTCTCTAGTGAGTGCACATCCCCTATAGCAAATTTGAAAATAATAATAAATAAAATTAAATAAATAATTCTTTAAAAAAGGAGAGAATTTGAAGGCCAGCTATGAAGTATGTTGTATATATAACAATCAGTTTATGAAAATGTTTAACCCAATTTTCCCTTCATCATGAATATTCAGTAATCGATTTTTTTTTCTTTTTTTTTTTTTTTTTGGAGGGTTTTTTTTTTCACTTTAGGGCACGTGCGCTCGCCAGACAGACAGAGAGAGACAGAGAGACAGAAAGCGAGAAATCACCCCCAGGGGGGATGGCCACGCCGCAATCCCTTCTCCTCCATTCTCCTCTCGGGATCTTGGGCACGCACGCACACACGCCCGGCGTGAGTTTTAAGCCACCAGGTCTGGGACGCGAACCGCGGTTGACTACATGGGTGTCCAGTGACATAGCCATTACGCTAACTGCTGGTTCCCAGTAATCGATTTTTACGGTCTTGCAGCTATCTCCTCTTTCAACAGCACCACGGTCGGAAGAGGGACGTCTCCAAGGACAGAGGTCTCCAGCTCCTCTTGCCACTAATGGGCCCTGCCTGGGCAGCCTCTGGTGAGTTTGTCAATGTCGATTTAAGGAGGCTGAAAGGCAAAGTTCACTGAGATAATGTTCAGTGGGGAGAAACAGATGAGTGATCAGAAAATAAACATTTTGTGACAAAGAAGCCAAAGCAAGTTACCTTCAGGTTTTCCCTTAGTTTTGTAGTTACAAAACTTTTTGTTAACTATGTATTTGTATATTTATTATCAGTAATCAGTAAAACAAGACATAATTATATATCTCATGAGTAATAAAAAGTGATTTTAAGGGGCCAGCAGTTGGCATGGTGGTTAAGGTGCTCGACTCCCACATGACGGACCGAAGTTCGAGTCCCAGACCCAGCAGCTTGAAAATCACACCAGGCATGTGTGCATGCATACCCAGAATCCCAGGAGAATGGAGGAGAAGGAACTGCAGAGTGGCCATGCCCCCGGAGGCGATTTCTCACTTTCTCTCTGTCTATTTCTGTTCATCCCTGGCTAAATACATGCGCTCTAATGGCAAAAACCTAAAAGACAGTGATTTTTGAGGAGGTAAGTTTAGTAGTCCTGTTATCCTATTCAAAATATGAGACATTTGGGACCAGCAGTTGGCGTAATGGCTATGTCGCTGCACTACCATGTAGTCGACTGCAGTTCGAGTCCTGGACCTGGTGGTTTAAACTCATGCCAGGCGCGTGTGTGTGCGTGCCCAAGATTCTGAGAGGAGAAGGGATTGTGGTGTGGCCATCCCCCCCACCCCCCACCAAGGGGTGATTTCTTGCTCTTTCTGTCTCTGTCTTTCTGGCAAGCATACGTGCCCTATAGCAAAAACCTCTTAAAAAACAAACAAACAAACAAAAAACCAAAATGAGAGATTTATCTTTTATCTTCACTGTGGGTTTTACTAAGAGTCTAGGGATGTTGAGTTCTCAAATCAGTATCCTCACTCCTAATTGCAATACCTGACACGTCTCAAAATAGCTCACGACAATTAAGTTGGTAAAAAGGACTTGGCAAGATGCCTACCGAAAGGCCAAGCTGCCAAAGCTCTTGCAGCAGCCAAAGCGAAGGTTCTTAAATCAGATGGTTGTGCCATTCCTCCTCTCCTACAAACACCCACTCCTCATAATCCTGCAGCACCACAGTTCGTACACTATGAAAAAGAATATAATCTCAAATCCTATCCTTTTGAAACATCATCCAATTGTTTCCCTCAGCCAACCGTCAACTTCATTCTTTGTTATTTATTTTTTAATTTATTTTATTATTATTATTTTTTAGGTTTTTGCCATGGGCTATATGTACTCATAGGAGATAGAGAGAAATCATTCCCCCCTGGGGGGTATGGCCACACTGCATCCCTTCTCCTCCGTTCTCCTCTCAGGATTTTGGGTACCCACGCACATGTACCCAGTGGTATTTTCAGGCTGCTTGGTCTGAGACTCAAAGTGAGGTCGACCACGTGAGAACGACCATGCCACCACCCAGTGGTCCCAGTCACCTTCATTTTTTTTTTTTTAAGAGAGATTTTTGCTATAGGGTATAAGAGAAATGGGGTGGCCACACCACAATCCCTTCTCCTCCGTTCTCCTCTTGGGATTCTGGACACGCATACACATGCGCCTGGCATGAGTTTTAAGCCACCAGGTCCGGGACTTGAACTACAGTCGACCATGTTGGAGTCCAGCGACATAATCATTATGTCACCTGCTGGTTCCCAACTTCATTCTTAATAGCTTAATTAGGTACAAGTTAAACATGCCTGAAACCTACTCTGTGCTACAATGCATGACACCCACAATACCCAACCTACAGGCAACAACACGGAACTGGGGAAAAGAATCTTCAGTTTGCCTCCTACCGTGCCTCAGTGCAGCAGGTCCGAGACCACTGACTGGGGGAAGGTACCCGACACTATGTCAGTGTCCTAAGGAGCGATTTTTTTCTATGATTACATTCCTTTTAGTTTTTCTTTGTTTAGTTCTTCCAACTAACAAAGGGAGGGAGACAGAGGAGGAGACAAGCACTCCTGAGGGGGTCTCACGCCGTGACCCCCCAGCCTTCTCATCCATGGTCACAGCAAGTGCCCCAGCCAGTGTGTGCAAACTGACCTGGAAACCCAACTCTGACCCCTGCACAGCTTCCTGGACCTGGTGGTTTAAACTCATGCCAGGCGCGTGTGTGTGCGTGCCCAAGATTCTGAGAGGAGAAGGGATTGTGGTGTGGCCATCCCCCCCACCCCCCACCAAGGGGTGATTTCTTGCTCTTTCTGTCTCTGTCTTTCTGGCAAGCATACGTGCCCTATAGCAAAAACCTCTTAAAAAACAAACAAACAAACAAAAAACCAAAATGAGAGATTTATCTTTTATCTTCACTGTGGGTTTTACTAAGAGTCTAGGGATGTTGAGTTCTCAAATCAGTATCCTCACTCCTAATTGCAATACCTGACACGTCTCAAAATAGCTCACGACAATTAAGTTGGTAAAAAGGACTTGGCAAGATGCCTACCGAAAGGCCAAGCTGCCAAAGCTCTTGCAGCAGCCAAAGCGAAGGTTCTTAAATCAGATGGTTGTGCCATTCCTCCTCTCCTACAAACACCCACTCCTCATAATCCTGCAGCACCACAGTTCGTACACTATGAAAAAGAATATAATCTCAAATCCTATCCTTTTGAAACATCATCCAATTGTTTCCCTCAGCCAACCGTCAACTTCATTCTTTGTTATTTATTTTTTAATTTATTTTATTATTATTATTTTTTAGGTTTTTGCCATGGGCTATATGTACTCATAGGAGATAGAGAGAAATCATTCCCCCCTGGGGGGTATGGCCACACTGCATCCCTTCTCCTCCGTTCTCCTCTCAGGATTTTGGGTACCCACGCACATGTACCCAGTGGTATTTTCAGGCTGCTTGGTCTGAGACTCAAACTGAGGTCGACCACGTGAGAACGACCATGCCACCACCCAGTGGTCCCAGTCACCTTCATTTTTTTTTTTTTAAGAGAGATTTTTGCTATAGGGTATAAGAGAAATGGGGTGGCCACACCACAATCCCTTCTCCTCCGTTCTCCTCTTGGGATTCTGGACACGCATACACATGCGCCTGGCATGAGTTTTAAGCCACCAGGTCCGGGACTTGAACTACAGTCGACCATGTTGGAGTCCAGCGACATAATCATTATGTCACCTGCTGGTTCCCAACTTCATTCTTAATAGCTTAATTAGGTACAAGTTAAACATGCCTGAAACCTACTCTGTGCTACAATGCATGACACCCACAATACCCAACCTACAGGCAACAACACGGAACTGGGGAAAAGAATCTTCAGTTTGCCTCCTACCGTGCCTCAGTGCAGCAGGTCCGAGACCACTGACTGGGGGAAGGTACCCGACACTATGTCAGTGTCCTAAGGAGCGATTTTTTTCTATGATTACATTCCTTTTAGTTTTTCTTTGTTTAGTTCTTCCAACTAACAAAGGGAGGGAGACAGAGGAGGAGACAAGCACTCCTGAGGGGGTCTCACGCCGTGACCCCCCAGCCTTCTCATCCATGGTCACAGCACGTGCCCCAGCCAGTGTGTGCAAACTGACCTGGAAACCCAACTCTGACCCCTGCACAGCTTCCGGCTTCAGGGGGCGGTGCGCTCCCGCCACACCACTGCAGCTGGACCACTGTGATCACATTCTTTCTTTATGAGGTTTTAGAAGGATTAATGCTACTTGCCAGAGACACAGAGAGAGACAGGAAGAGAGCAAGTGAGAAAACACTCCCCAGGAGAGATGACCATGCCATAATCCCTTCTCCATTCTCCTCCTGGGATTTTGGGCATGCACGCACACACATGTGCCTGGCATGAGTTTCAAGATTGCCGGGTTCCAGGACTGGAACCACGGTCAGCCATGTGGGAGTTCATCACCTTAACCACTATGCCACCTGCTGGCCCCTGTGATTACGTTCTTTAGAGAACCAACTTTTTTTTTTTTTTTTTTTTTGAGAGGTTTTTGCTATAGGGCTCATTTGCTTACCAGAAAGACATAGAGAGACAGAGAGACAGAGAGCGAGAAATCACCCCCTGGGGGGATGG